CTTTATTTAAAAGCTGAAATGTGAGGTTTACCATTTATGAAACTTTTTCAAAGCTTTATTTGAACATTTACATGAGATATTTGAACATGCTATTAGATAAATTGTTGTCAGTCATGTTGTTATTTAAAATCTGGACATCACTGGCAATGTTATTGTTTTAGTTATGCAAACAAAAACTCATTTTATTTGTTGTTTGTGGATTTGAAATGTAAAACTTGGTGAAATGATTTGTGTGGCAGTACTTTTTGAACATTTCCAGCACATTTTAACAATACTGTGATAATACCGATAACCGTGATCATTTTGGTCACTATAATCGTGATAAGAAATTTTCATACCGTACATCCCTATTACCTAAAAACCATATTACATTTTTACCATGGTATTGAGGTGCTATATTTGTGGTTTTAACTGTGATCATCATGATCTAAATGTATCCTACTATGGAAGACCAATGGTTAATTAAAAAAAAAAACTCAAACACTCAGAATAATTAAATTTCACCATATAAAAATGAGGTTGCTACAATACTCTACAGATATTACTGATTTTAATAATGAACATAAATCTACATCTGCATCCTAACTTAAGCTACTATTAAATGTGTATTTCTAAGAGACAACATTTTTTTATATTATTATTATTATCAGGCAACGCAAACCTGTTTCTTGTTTGAAACAATATTACTCATTAGAACGTGCAGAACTAAGAAATTATTTTTTTCTATTAAGATATTTATTTTGTTCAGGAAAAATGACTGGGAAAATGTAAATAATTCAAAAACGTGAAGTGTTTGTCATGTTCTGACCATAAAGAATAGTTTAAAACCACAATTGATTGTCTGGTTTTTATAACTTTCTCACTGGAGCAAAAATCTGCCTTTAAACTTGAAAGAAATAAAAATTTGACATTTATCGTGATAATTATCGATATTGACTGATATGAAAAACATTATCGTGATCATTTTTTGGCCATATCGCCAAGCCCTAATATGAGGTCTGCAATTTTTGCAACCCTTTCATTAAAATTTGTGACATACATGCATACAGACGTTTATTTTCCAGCAACTAAAACTAACAATCAAATTTAAAAAAACAAACTTATAAAACTATAAAATGGGTAATAGGATTGTAAACGTGGGCATAAGCTGTCACTCAGAGGGTGCTTGGCTAGTTTACGAACCAAATGTTGGTCCGAAAAAGGTAATCATGTCATCTTAAAATAAAATGGTTGAATTAGTAAGCACGATGAATAGTGTCAACAGAAGATTTTGTGCAGAAATTGAGAAAATGGAATTAGATTATATAGATCTCATGCTCCAAATTATGCAAATTTCTGGGATTCACAGTTACATTTTTTTTGTGCGTAAAGTGTCTTAAAAATCAGCTTTTTGGCAGCTATTATTAGTGTGAAATTCACTCATTTCTGTACACTCTGAGACATATTCAGATTTCAATGACTTGAAAATTTAGGCTTTTTACCTCTCATTTAGTCAAGGATTTGCCAACATAACCTTTGAGTTTGTTGGGGGGGAAAATGTCTGGAAAGGGCTGTTCTGAGGCGGATCTGGATTCTACATTTCACACATACCTGAGGTTCTGTGTGCAGATGAATGTGTGTTCCTCTGTGCTCTGATAAAGACCTCTTCACCACCCTGCGGTGCCTGAAGTGATAATAATCTCCAAATACCTGAGGGGAAAAACACAAGGCTACATTTAGCTCACCACATCCTACAGATTTCTTTAAAAAAGAGAGAGAGAGGCTGGTAAGTAAAACATTTCAACTTTGTGTGTGTGTGTGTGTGTGTGCATATTACACAAACATGCACCTACTCATACCATTTCTTTTCCTTCAGTTTTTATTTTTATTTTTTATATTAATTATGAATTAATTTCTATGTTTGCTCACAATTTGCTAGTCTATGCTGTAACACAAAATTTAAATGAAAGCAAATGAGACTCCATTGGAGATCATTGTTACGGAGCCCAGCTGTGGACCCAGGCATGACCTTAATGATACAGATGGGAAAAATATTGACAGAAAGAGAAACACAGACAGCTGTGCATGGCCAACAGCCTCGAGTACACGTAACACTGAACGAGTCAATCTCCTGTCAGCCAACTGCACAATCACACACGACAAGATCATCCAGAGGACCAGAGGCACCGATTTCTCTCTTCGTTTGATGAAAGCTAAATGTCTGGAGTGAGCCAGAGTTCATGCAGTCACGCTATAGATTCAGACTATAGAAAGGCAAAGATCTAGCAGACATCAAAACAGCTGTAGAGCAAGACACATGCTCATTCACAAGACCAGAAACATTAATTTTACCAACAGGTTTAAAGAAGCCTTCAGTTAATTAACCAGCAGTAAAATAAATACAGACCAACCCAAAGCTGAACTACATTTTTAAGCTTTAAATTCAAAGGTACAAAACATATTTTTCACAAGGCTCACTGTAACAAAGCCATTCTTTATTCGAAGGGTGGTAACATGTAATAGGAACCCCTGTCGGGAAAGATCGAGGACAACAGCTCTACATTTATTCTTCCATGACGTCCTCAGTATACAGGCCGGATTACAGCATGTTGATGCAAACATCTCCACCCAAACAAAGCCAGTGAGGCAATAAGCCCTTGACAAACAAATTTGACAACGGGCGACACTGTAAATACCATAATAAACACTAAAAGCTTCGAACACAGAAGGTTAAAAATAAAAACCTTAAAAAAGCAAAGAGCCAAAGAGATGGCAGACTGAAGAAGAGATGATACATTTATTGAACTGCTAGCGAGAGACCGGCACGTTTCGCGGTTAACGAGAGAACAATAATGACAGAAATCACACAAGAATCGATCGCAAGGAGAGATAGCAAAAGAGGGATGGGTAATAAACACATTCAGAGCTCTGAAAGCTGTGTTAGTCACAAAGGGAAATAGACTGAGGATGGGTATGGGTGTATTGTGTAAGATAAGAGGCCTAAAAAGATGAGCATCAATCTCAGACGGGCCTGAATCCAGCGGCTCCAGGGCACAAGGGAGCGCAGATGGAGATATGCAGGCCTTGTCATATCAGACCACCATCTCAACTGCCTGGAAACATGCGAGAGGAAAGGCATATGAAGGGAAAAAAAAACAACTTATATCTAGACTAAAACTTATCCACATCTAAAAATTATATCAGTGCTGGTTAAACAGTTGGCATGCCTTTGCAAAATATGTTCCTTATGTCTGGAAGCAACCTACACATCCCAACTCTACTCTTCAGAGCAGAAAACATCAGAATAAATATTTGTAATTAACTTTAATTACCAAAAACATAACAGTTAGTTGTGCCCCACCATTTGCATGCAACCCTGCATGATTTGCTTTTTAAAAAAAGACTTAACACGAATGGGCTACAGATTGGTGTCCCATTACTTTTAAAGCATTAGAGGCACATGTTTTGTAGTGAGCACTAACAAACAAATTATTATTTAACTAAATTATTCCAACATGAAAATCAGCTAGTTTTGAACACATCAAGCAGCTTACAAAGGTTTTTGTAAGAAAAATTATAAAGCTATAAAAATCAGTTTGTGTGAAATTCATTTAATTTTCAAAATTAACTAAAAATCAATATTTACTGACTGAAAGCTTAATTTAAGTGAAATCTGCAATCCAGCTAGTTATTACTTTTATAACCTTTAGGATTTAATTTTTATTTTTTAATAAACAAAAAAATTAAATATAAATCACATTTATTTTATTATAAACTTCAAGGATTTAATTCATGATTAATTGTCATTTTTTTATAAAATAAAATTGTAATGAATCAGTCCACTGAAGGCGAGTTGAAGTGAGAACCCAAGCGCAGTTTATTTACAGGTGATCCAAACATCCAAACAATAATCCAAACAGACGAAAACTAGAGACCCAGACTTGACTTGACGAGGCATGAACAGACTTGACTTGGCATGAATAGGACTCACCAACAGCAGAGTTACAACATCAATACACAACAAAGACTATGGGAACATGATGGCTACTTATATCAGACAATGAGGGTCACATGACAAGAACAAACCAATGGGAAACAAGACACATGACTAAGACAACCAATCAGAACATGACACATACACAAGGCAGAGATACATGAGGGCAAGGGAAGCATGACACTGACAGCATGAAACAATTACAAAATAAAAGACATGGAAACATGAACAAGACAAAACCCAAACACCACATTACAAAAATAAGATACAAATTAAATAAGATAAAACAACAAAATAAGAAATATAAGTTAAAACAAAGAAATAAAATAAAATAAGAGGAAAAGGAAAACAAGAAAAATAGAACATGATTAAACAACTGAAAATTAAATAAGATAAAATAAAAAAAATAAATAAAATAAAAATTGAGAATTGTCTCTTTTTTTTTTTTCATTGACTGCTTATGAGAAACAGGCTACCCAAGCTTGAGATCTAGCAACTATGATCAAAGACTATGACCTGTAATTAAAAGGAATGTTGTAAATCTTGTATTAAAGATATTTACATGAGCATTAGCCAAGACGCGGAGGTAATGCTAGCATGCAATAACCACATAATAATGGCATGTAAAGAACATTACTTGACATAAGAATCTGACCTCAGTGTCTGACCCATCGTTTAGAGGTTTGACCAGATGGCACGGCACTGACCAGCAGTTTCCCACACAAATTAGAGCCATTATCTAAAATTAGCCTCCACCTTGCATCGCCTTCCAACTACCATTAACGTTCCTTGCTATCTTCTCTTTAATGGAGGCAAGCACACGTTCAGTAGTTGAAACTTTAACTATAGAAGGTACAATAATACAATGGAAACAGCAAGTTGTAGATAAGCTAGAGCTGGTAAAGGAAACACAGATGTTTACTGTGGGAAATGTGCTAGCAATGGGCAGGCTAAATATGTGATCATTTCAGGAGCAATTACAAATCAAGGGAACAATCCATCTGACTAACTGAGCAAATGGAGCAATTAGTCTCTAAAACTGAAATCAGTCTCTATGGATGTGCATCACTGTCATGCATCCGTCCAATTTATCCATAAAGACTTAATACAACCAGCCAGACCAATTCACCAGCCGCTATCCGGATATTTTTCTGTCAGCTTCCAAAATCTATACTGACAGCATTGACAAAGGATGAGAATAAACATGAAGAAATACTAATAAAAAAACAGGGTTTCTAAAGGTTTTATGATGGTAAATTGGTCTTTTTAGACCAAGTCAAGAAAGTTTAAGTACCAAATTGAAGGCAACACAATATGTCAATATCTTTAAATCTAAGGGTGCTTTCACACCTGGCCTGTTGTTTCGGAACCTGGCGCGTTTCCCCCCTTAGCTCGGTTTGTTTGGGCATATGTGAACACGGCAATCACGCCCGGATCCGCGGCAAAAGCTGAACTGTTGTTGTACCAAATCACATATGTATTTTCATAAAGCCATCAGTTATCTTTGTTATTGTCTGTTTTGGAGTATGTACCTGTAAATAATTGCATCAATTTAGTGCTATAAAAATATAGAAAGGAGCCTGCCAGTGTGATTTGTATTTGTCAGTTTGTTCCATTTCTCAATTTTGGTAAATTATTACTTAAGATGGGTAATAATTTGTTGTCCCAGTATTTCAAAGGGAGCGAGGTATGTTCTGACCTGAAGCACAAGAAAAGCAAAAATGGTGAGGTTAAACACAGAAAATACTTTTTGAGAAGATTTAATTTACACAAGTGTGAGCTTTTGTAATTCCTTAGTTAAATTTATTTAATATCTAATTTAACTATCGAGATTTTAAGTATCTGGATTTTTTTTGTACACCACGTAGATCATAAACCACTGATATCAGTTGATAAAAACAAACGTTGTCATATTTTTATACAGAAAAACCGCAGCTCTCCCTGTTCGTTGCATTTGTTTACAGGGAACTCTTGCCCGCACCAATATGGCGGACGCGTTGACGTATCGCAGCAACGGACCGAAACGGCCAATGAGGCGTCTAGGTATTTATATGTCTATGGCTGTGACAGCTAAGTGGAATCCCGGAAAATAAACCGTGGAACTTTGACCAATGAGACAACAGTTTACTCACGCGTGACTTGTAATTTGGTCCGTTTAGAAACTTTGCCGTTTGAAAGCGAACCGCACCAAGAATAAAAAGCAACATTGAAATAATTTTAATCCCTGTTTCGGAACAAAGCTATCGATCTACAGGTGTGAAAGCACCCTAAATGTCTAGGGAAAAGACAATGAGCAACACACTTCCAAATTTGAAAACAGCTTCTAAACAATCTCTATTACTTTTTAACTCATTTAACAAAAATAAATACCTCTGCTCCCAACCACCAGAATATGAAAATAACTTTTATTGTGCCTTCTGATCACACAGCAAAAAAGTGATGTTCCTAAGTATCCTAGATCCTAGTCTTGTTTTCCAGTGCAAATGTCTAAAGATTCTTGAATTAAGATACATTTAGTTGAGAAGCAAAATGACATAAGATAAGAAGTCTTGTTTTCTGAGTAGTGACTTTATGACTAAAAAACAAGAATCACAAGTAAATGCAGCTTGATTTAAAGCTGCAGTCCGTAACTTTTTTTGGTTAAAAATGATCCGAAATCAATATTTGAGCAAGGACATAACCAGCCAGTGTTCAAAACTATCGCCTTACTTTAGCC